GTTTTTCATTATGCAGTGGTTACAAGCATTTAGTATTCCAACACCAGTGTGACCTTTCCTCCACCAATGTCCCTTGTTTCTCTCCCAATCCCAACCTGCCCCCTTTGGTACTTAGCACATTTACTTTATATTGCTTATTACAACAAAACTTTTAGAACTGGCAAATAGAATGATCAGAAAATAAACCGGGAAGGGCAAACTAGTGATTAATATATGATTTTAATCTATGTAAACAAGAAAATAAAAACGATTATTTTCTACTCACTGTATCACTGTTATCCTGTTGTCCAATGATTTACTTGAGTGGGTGACAGTAATGTCTCCATTCATCCCAGCTCTGAGACTTTTTTTCCCTTTTTGGGTAACACCCAGCGAAGCATAGGAGTTACTCCTGGTTCTGCACTCAGGAATTACCCCTGGCGGAGCTCAGGGGACCATATGGGATGCTGGAAATCGAACCTGGGTCGGCTGTGTGCAAGGCAATTGCCTTACCCGCTGTGCTATTGCTCCAGCCCCTCTGAGATTTTTCTTAAAAAATTTTTTATTAGTGAATCACTGTGGGGTACAGTTATAGACTTACAAACTTTCGTGCTTATGTTTCAGTCATACAATGGTCGAGTAGCCATCCCTCCACCAGTGCCCATTTTCCACCACCAATGGTCCCAGCATCCCTCCCATCACACCCACCCCGTCCCCCGTCCCCTCCACCCTACCCCTCTTCTGTGGCAGGGGATTCCCTTTTGCTCTCTCTCTCCTTTGGGTATTGTGGTTTGCAGTAGAGGTATTAAGTGGCTGTCATGTTCGGTCTATCGTCTACTTTCAGTTCTGCATCTCCCATCCTGAGAGATTTTAGCAGCCTCTCCTTACTCATCTTTCCCAACTCTGCCATATTGGAGGCTCTTTCAGGGACTGGAGAATGAGACCCGTTATTGTTACTGTTTTTGGCATATTGAATATGCCACAGGTAGCTTGCCATGGCTATTTTTTATTATTTAAAGAATTTTTTTTTTGTTTTCTGGGTCACAACTGATGATACTCAGGAGTTACTCCAGGCTCTGTACCCAGGAATTACTCCTGGTGATGCTCAGGAGTCAAATGGGATGCCAGGGATCGAACCTATGTTGGCTGTGTGCAAGGCAAGTGCCATACCCACTATATACTATTGCTCCAGCCCCAATTAAACCACTTAATACAATATAATAAAATGCTGATTCTCATTTACATATATACATTTTCAACTTTGGATCTAAAGTCTGTTACATAAAATTTTATTTTATACTTGGATCTCATTATAGTAATAATTATGTCTTACCTGTCATTCTGTGTTAATATATTTTGGAGTTTACATGGAATAGGTAAGGCCTACATATGTAAACTTCCTCCCTACACTTTATGCAAACATTGTGATTTACAAAGTTGCTCGTGATTGTTTGTTACAGGCAATCAATATTCCAACACCAATCCTACAACCATTATACCTTCCCTCCACCATTATCTCAATTTTTTTCAACCACCCCTTACGCCTGCCCCCATAGTAGGCCCTCAATAATTTTATATTGCTTGTGATCAATAATGTGCTAGCAGAATGGTCAAAAATGTTTCCTAGAAGAAAGTTAGTGAAAATTGATGGCTGTAGCTCACCGGAGCCATTAAGTCTTGCATAAGAAAGAGACTATTGGATGTTGTTACAGGTTGAGGCTTCTGTGTCTATGTCTTGCTAATTGAGACTGGTTGTCTTCTGCATTACATCCCATTCAGTCTGGTGTGCTACTACTAATTTATCACTGTATCACTGTCATCCTCCTGTTCATCGATTTCCTCGAGCAGGCACCAGTAAAGTTTCCATTCATCCTAGCCCTGAGAATTTAGCAAGTGCCACATTGGAGACTCTTTCACTAATTTATCAGTGTTGTAGAATTTGAAATGTAGCACAGCTGCACGCTCCAGGAAGTTCAGACTTTTAAACAGAGTGATATAGCTGGAGTTAAATTTTTAACTGAGTGGTGGCTTTGGGTTGTGTGCACGACTTCTGGGGCTTCTGGAAGTATACAAGGAAATGGGGGGGGGGGGAGTTAGCCCATCCTGACTCCGTGAAAGCCTGGAGATTTCAGTCACAAAACCCATGTATCTGAATCATTCAGCAGGTTAATTTCTGAGTGAGGCTTGTCCAAAGACAGTGGGGGTAGGGGGGCATGGTGACAATTGTGGAGTGTGGGAGCTATCAGTTGCCAGGGCTCTGTTTATGCGGGCACTGGACTGGCCTACCCCCATTCTGGGGTGCCCCAGACAACTCAGCCATGTTGAGCCATGAACAGGTGCCGGGAGAATCTTCTGCAACGTGTTGACCTCTTTTGAGATTTATTTGAATCTATTTCCAGATTTTTTGATATGTGCCATTCTCACAAGTGTGAGATGTTATCTCCCTATTGTTTTGATTTGAATTTTTGCAAATTATGTATGTCATAATTGTGTATGTATGTCATAATTATGTATGGCAATGAGCAATTTTTCATAAGCCTCTTGGCCATCTGTATATCTTATGGCTAGTCCTCTCTAAACAGACAAGAAAAAATAGAAACAGGTGCTAAGGATGGGTCCTGGCTGATGGGATCTGTTCCCCAGAGAAGTCTAATGCCCATGTGCCTAGAACCATTCCATACTGGGCAGGAGCAGCTTTTCCATTCCAGGCAGGTTTCAGAGAAAAGACTGGTAGGGTTAGTAATGAGTGTGCCAAGGTTTATTAGGCACTTGAGTGAAGGTCCTAGGAAGAGAGGGGGAAAAAACAGAGTGGGCAGTAGGAGACTGGGAACCTCCCCACAAGAGTCTCTCTAGATGCTTTTCACTAACCTGGGAGAACCCCTGAAGACTGAGAACCCAGCACAGCTGCCAGGAGGAACGGGTCTTTATGCCCCATGCTGGGCATCACCAGAGCATGCCCCAGGAAGAGAGTGAGGCTTTGAGCCAAGCAGCTCTCTTCAGCTGAAGATGCAGAATTCAGACCCGGGGTCAGGGGTGAGGGCAGCTCAGGATGAATGGGGTCTGTAGGGGGAGAAGCAGGAGTAGTTGAGAATCTTGTGAATACATCCTGTGCAGTCTTTAGCAACTCAAGGTGTCCTCAGGAGGCTTTCAGAACGGGCTGGAATTGTAGCCATGTGTAGGCTCCTTTCCCGCCTGAGAATTACTTGAGTAAAATGCAGAATAGGAAGTGATTCATTCCTGAGATGAAGCAGGGGGAGCTGACTCAGGACCACAGACCCTCACCCCCACCCTGCCACCAGCTGAATCTGCCAGCACCTGACTTCCTTTATCCAGGGAGGTGCCGAACCTTCCTTGACTGGCTTCTAGCTCTCAGAAAGGAGCCCACAGAAATGAAAGAATAAACCTGTCTGCCAGATATATCTATTCCAGAATTACATAATGTGAGGATCACATTAAAAATGGACCATGGCTAGTTGTTATTGATTTTTTTCCTGGTAGTGAACATTAGTTTGGAAATGAGTAAAATTCACAACCTCCCTTGCTTGGGGCAAAAGAAGATTTACAGTAACTTAGGAAGCCAGCAATTTGCAGGACTGTGGGTGTCTCTTTAGAATCTGGGCACTGCAAGAGGGAGATCATCATCCTTATCCCCTGGCCCCTGCCAGAAAGATCTCAGATCCCAGGGAGGCAGAGGGACTGTGGAATCTGCAGGACCACAACTCAGTCTCTCCTTCAGAAAGAGTCCTGGGGTGTCCAGAGCACCTGAAATGTCACCCTCCTCAACCCCACAAACGCAACCATAGCACCTCCAGGGACGGTGGTGAAGGGCAGGGGTGAGAAACAAGTGGGACTGTGAATGTAGCTCAGTGGTAAGGTGCAGTACTTGTCTTGCATGTGTGAGATCCTGAATTTAATCCCCAACAGACACACCTAAAAACAAAACACATCCCAGAAAGACCTCTGTGGAAAGTGTCCTGTTTCTTTGATGTGATGAGGACATGTGAAGATTAAAGAAACAGGCAGTGCGATTTTATCCTCCACGGCCACCGTTCTCACTCCTGAAACCTGCCAGAAGCCCTGGGAGGGCTGGTAAGCCGTAACTGGGCCTTCTGCATGGGCACAGGTACAGTCGGTCCTGGCTGGACTCAGTCCCACCTCACTAATCAGTTCCCACCTCCCACCTCACCTATCAGTTCCCAAGCAATGCAAACCAGGTCTCCACTCTGAAGTCTATAGCCATAGGACAATATCAAGTAGGTTCTCAAAAGTGGAGTGCAAAGAAAGAGGGGAAGCAGTTCTTAAAATAGTTTTAAAGGCATTTAAAATGGTTTTTCTATTGTACCTGGTAATTTTATTTATTCTTCTTCTGAAAAATGGAAGGAATCTAAATAGAGGACCTCACAGACAGGATAATGTGGATATTAGGAGTGACAATAGCCTTCTGATGGTTAACTGTTTCCTCCCCGAGAAGTTATATTAAAAAAAAATCCATGCGGTGGGGTTGGGGGTAAGGTCCCAGGGATGGAATCCACAGCTTCCTACATGCAGAGGATAGGGTTCCCACAGAGCAATTTCCAGTCCCCACTGAAACAAGTCTAATCTACAGCAAAGTATCTTATGTTGGAAAGCCAGCCTTTGAGATGTGCTTAAAGCTTACACACAGAAGGTAATCTACACGCCTTTCTAAAGAAGCTGTTTCCATGAAAGAGAGACAGCTCAGAAGAACTACTGATTTTTAACTTCTTCACTTCACTTGGTATTTTGCAGATATTAACCTTGGGACAGTGGGTAAAAAAAGATAAATCCCCATAAAACTGTGCCTACCCGGATAAGAGAGGATGGGATTGAGGGGTGGGAAGGGTGATGTTTGGGGAACAGTGTGATGAAAAGTAACAATCAGGTGAGAAGCCAGAATGAGCCTTTCTCTTTGGAGATCCCAACCCATCTATTCCAAGGGAAACATCTTGTAATTACTGGATTCTTTCTCCTAAGCCAAATAAAGAAACGGCTGCATACGCATCTCTGGAGGAAAATGTCTGTATTAAAAGCCAAAAAGAAAAATCCCACAGAAGTACAAGAAGAAAACGCCCACCAGATCACATCACCAGATAGATCGACTAGGAAAAGGTTCATCAAGTTCATTGCAGCGGTAATAATAGTCAGTGTCAAATCCATCCCATGCCCCCCCTTAAAATAAATTAAAAAAAAAAACAACAAACTTCAAATACAACTATGTTCGGATACAAAGAGCTTCTCTTACTACAGCAATAGCAATTTAATTGTTTTGTTTGTTTTACTAAAACTTTCATTTAAAACAGTTATTAAATATATAAAACAAATACACAGGATTTGGTCATTTTCTGCCATGAATATAGGGCACGTGGGTGCGGGGGATGGGTGGGGGGTGCGGGAGGATGCATTGGAGGAGAAAGGGCCCCTTTGTCACTCTCTGTCTTCCAGGTGCGGAGCCACCCTCAAGTGCAAAGGCTTTTTGCAACTGCTCCCCAGAGAAAACCTGCAGCCGCGCAGCTCCAATCTTTTGCAGACACGACGGCGCCTCCCCGGCTGCCCCCTCCCGGGAAGAACTAACGGTCACTACAGCACGAAGCACACCGGCCGAGCGTCCCGGCGGGAAAGGCACCCGAGCGCGCGGAGGGCAGGGGGCGGACGCAGGGCGGCGCGGAGCGGGTCACTTGGTGGCCGCCCCCGAGGTGACGGCGGCAGCAGCGGCGGCAGCGGCGGCGGCGGCAGCTGCGGCGGCCGCGGTGGTCCCCGCGGGCACGGCGGCGGGCACGGCGGCGGGGGCGGCGGCGGCGGCGGCGGCGGCTGCGCTGGCGCTGCTGGCGGTGGTCCGGCGCTGCTCCATGCCGTTGGGCAGGAAGCCGGCGATGATGGGCACCGGCCAGATGAGGGCGGCCACGCTCCACACGACGATGACCAGGGTCATGAAGCAGGCCACCAGCGTGGACTCGATGGGCTTGCGGTTCAGCCTCCAGCCCGGCTCGCCCTGCAGCTCCTCCAGGCTGAAGTCCAGGCAGCAGAAGTGCAGCGGCTCGCCCTGCAGCCAGAGCGGGCCCGGGGGCTCGGCGGCGGGGTAGGCGGGCAGCGCGGTGGGCGCCCCGGCGGCCCGGAGGCGGCCGGGGCCCCGGCGGCCGCGCACCCAGCCGCAGCCCACGCAGAGGCGCAGGTCCTGCTGCGCGCCGCCCGCCGCCAGCCCCAGGTGCTCGATGAGCAGCGGCGGCCCGACGCGGTGGAAGGCGGCGGCGAAGAAGGCGCGGCCGTGCGCGTTGGTGGAGAAGAGCAGCAGGTCGCACTGGAAGCCCCGCGGGCGGCCCCAGCGCACGAGCAGCGAGCTGAGCATCTGCCGCTGCACGCTGATGTTGCACGGCGCCGCCGCCGCCGCCGCCTCCTCGGGGCCCGGCCGCTCGGGCACGCCGGGCGCCGCGGGGGCCAGCAGCCGCGGGCCGGCGGGCTCGCCCGCGGACGACGCGTTGGCCGAGCCGTTGGGAGCCGTCCCGGGCAGGTCGGGCGCGCCCGCCAGCCCGCCGCGGGCCGGGGGCAGCAGCGGGCAGGCGGCGGCCAGCAGCGCGGCGAGCAGGGGCAGCATGGCCTGCGGCGGGCGCCTACGCGCGCGGGGCCGGCGGCGGCTGCATGGCGCGCGGGCCCGGGGCGCGGACGGCGGGCACGGCGGGCGGGAGCGCCGGGCGGCCGGGCGGAGCGCGGGGCAGCGCCGGCACCCGCCCGGCCGCGGGGGCGGCGGCCGAGGAGGCCGGCGGGGCGAGCGGGAATCCCTCTGGGCTCGGCGGCGCCCGGGCTTCCCCCGCCGCCCCGACGCAGGGGCGCTCGGACCGCGCGGGCTGGCTGTGCGGGGCCCGGCGCTCGCCCCGAGCAGGAATCCCCGGCTCGGCTCCGCCTCCCGCGCGCCCCGCCCCGGCCCGCCCTCCGCCCGCCTCGGAGACTCGGGGGGAGGCGGGGTTGCACGCGTCCGCGGGGAGAGGGCCCCCGAGGCACCTGGGGTGCGGGCCGGGGTGCGCGGCGCGGGCTGCCGCTCGGAGCCCCACGAGGAGCGCGCGTCCGCGGCTCGTCGGGGCGGGGGCTTGGCCTTTGCGGGCGCAGGGGGCTGACGAGTTCCCCGGGAGAATTGCTGGGGCTCCCGAATCATCGCCGAGTCAGGCTGAGCCCTTGGCGAGGTCTCAGGGGAGCCTGCGATGATACCCCTCCTTGGGATCTCCTCAGAGCCCCCGCTCGCGTTACGGACGGGGAAAGTGAGGCAGAAGGGACCCCAGGCCTTTGGTCTTCCTGCCCTTTCTCTTTCTGTCTCCTCCCTTCGTCCCTCCCCTCCCTCTCTTTCCCCTCCCTCCCTCCCTCCCTTCCTTCCTTCCTTCCTTCCTTCCTTCCTTCCTTCCTTCCTTCCTTCTTCCCTCCCTCTCTCCCTTCCTTCCTCCCTTCCTTCCTTTTCCTCTCTGCTCCCCTTCCTTCCTTCCTTCCTTCCTTCCTTCCTTCCTTCCTTCCTTCCTTCCTTCCTTCCTTCCCTCCTTTCTTCCTTTTCCTCTCTGCTTCGCTTCCTTCCTTCCTTTCTTCCTCCCTTCTTTCCTTCCCTCTCTGCTCTCCTTCCTTCCTTCCTTCCTCCCTCCCTCCCTCCCTCCCTCCCTTTCTTCCTTCCTCCCTTCCTTCTTTCCTTCCTTTTCCTCTCTGCTCCCCTCCCTCCCTCCCTTCCTTCCTTCCTTCCTTCCTTCCTTCCTTCCTTCCTTCCTCTGCTCCCTCTACTTCCTTCCCTCATTTTTTTCTTCCTCCTTTCCTTCCTCTGGCAGTTCTCAGGGCTTACATCTGGCTCTGTGTTCAAGGATCACTCCTGGTGAGACTCGGGGACCATATGCAGTGCTGGGGCTCAGCCCCATGTAGCCCGTGCAAGGAAAGTGCCTTACCCATTGTGTTATCACTCCAGTCTCATCTTCCTGCCTTTCTGTGTCTCTTAACATACCAAATCTGGGGAGATTGACAGGGGTTTTTCTAAGGCATTTCCAACATCATCGACTCATTTGGCATTCTGGCAGCAGGAAAACTGTGGAGGACAATTCCCCTGCTCTCTAGTGCCTTTGGTAAAATGAGTCTTGAGCAGTCCTGAGAAGGTGTTTTCGCTCCCAGAGAAGTGGGTCCTCACTGGGTCTTGCCCTGCTAGACGCATTCCTGAGAAATGGCCGCAGAAGTGGCTGTCAGGGGACAAACCGTCCTGTTTAGGTTATTAAATGGACGGAAACCTACCAAGAATAAGGCACCAGAAGCAGACATATTTAAAAACATATTGCCAGTAACTTAGCCTGTTGGGGAAATCCCGCGTGATGCGTTCTTCAGGGAATGACTGTGTGGTTTGAAATCATTGTGTCCCTGAGCCCAGGCCTCTCCTAAGTTCAGCCATGCACAGAATGTCCCCTGATTACCAGCTCTTTCCTGAGCAGAACTATCTGCCAGGGATCGTGGCTGATAACATTTCTGGAAGCTTTTCTCCTTCGCGTCTGACAATGTGTAAAATCGGGTCAAGATAGATACAAAACGGCTTCAAAGGATAGACACCCAGACTATCTGACTTCTTTGCAGGTGACCAGGCCATGATTCTGACTTGAGCTTTGTATCTTTCGGGAAATACGGGGCTCATCTTTGCCTGCCTGGCCCAGGTGTTGTGCTAAATGCACCCTACCCAGGGTCTGCCCATCTGTCCACAGAGGGCCTCCTGCGGTGACTTCTGTGATGTCTGTGCTCTCAGTGCCATCCTGAGGTCTGTTTGGAAGGTCTTCGGCTTCTACAGCTGTGGTTCATTCCCCGCAGGGGGACAGAATTCCCCTTGCATTTATGCCTCCATCACTTTACTTCGGGAAGCGGTGTCATCAGAGAGGACAGTCAGCAGTACTGAGTTTTTTTTTTTTAATTAAGAATTCCTTTTCCTTTCAGTCTCGGCCTTTTATGAAGAATTCCTTCTCCTTTCAGTCAGGAACACAATCGATCAGTTCGTTGGAGGCGGTGGCTGGTGAACAGCCTTCAGGGCATCAGGTAAATGCTTTGGTCTTCAAGGCAGCAGTGGCAGGGGTGGAGGTTGGGGCGGGGGTCGTGTTTGGAGCCAGGCCACGGTCTGTGGAGCCAGCAGGTAATGCTCTCTAAAGCACCAGCCAGAGATGGGGTTCTTACTTGACCTGTGCAGAAGGGAAGGAGCCCGCTGAGGGAGATGGAGCAATTCAGAGTCAACTTAAGACTCTGTAGCCACGCAGCCCTGCGTCTGCCCTCTGCCCCATGAATTCCCACATCCTCTCCTCATGCAGAGGGTCGCTGTACAGTCCCCACACCTTCTGGAATGTTGTGCTGTTTTGGGGTCGAGAAGATAAGGATCAAGTGCATCATTTTCTGTCTTGCTTACTGTGGTGTTGTTACCAGGAACAGGAAGAGTGCATAGCCCACACTGGAGGTTCTGGAAGTATCATTAACTGAGCACCTTTGCCCTTGGCACCCAGCACTTTCCTTGGGCCAGGTAGGTGACATACATCCTCCCACATCTTGGCAAATTTGGGAGAAAATAAGACGAATATATTTTCTGGTGCAAATATGTTTTCTCTTGAGAAAATCTTTTAGCTGTGTTTCTTTTTAAAGAACTCTAAACACAGCATTAGACAAAAGTTGAGAGTCCTGCAGGAAGTAATTATAATCTCAGCTACCTGGTCTCTTTCATTCTCTGTTGCTGCTGCTGCTTCTGCTGCTTCTCATTCCTCTTCTCCTCCTTTTCCTTCTTCTCCTCCTTCTTCTTCTCCTTCTCTTTCTCCTCCTCCTCCCCCTCTTTCTCCTCCCCCTCCCCTCCCCCTCCCCCTCCTCCTCCTTCTTCTTCTTCTTCTTCTCCTCCTCCTCCTCCTCCTCCTCCTCCTCCTCCTCCTCCTTCTCCTCCTCCTCCTCCTCCTCTCCTCCTCCTCCTCTCTTCCTCCTCCCCTCCTCCTCCTCCTCTTCCTTCTCCTTCTTCCTTCTTCTCATACCCGGCAGTTCTCAGGGGTTACTCCTGGCTCTGCACTTAGAAATTACTCCGGTGGTGCTCAGGGGACCATATGGAATGCCAGATATCGAACTTGGGTAAGCCACATGCAAGGCAAATGCCCTACTTGCTGTACTATCACTCCGGCCCTTGCATGTGATTCTTTTCTGCATTTCTGATCGCCCCCTAATGTGGGCAGAGATGATGTCTGAAAAGAAAATGATCTGATTGAAGTCCTACCATTGTCACCATTCCTGCTTTTGTGACCTTCCCTTCAGCTCTAGAGGGCACAGGAGGGTAAGGCTGGGGCTCTCTGTGTGAGTTGGGCCACTCTAGGCAGAGACTTGTTCATGGACTGTGGCTCCTGGCCTCCTCTCTGAATCATCTCCTGAGCTCTCCTATGTGGATCTGTCGCTGCCTCATCCATGCCCACCCTGTTCTAGGGACACTGGCTACCTAACTAGCCCAAAACATGTGGCGCTAACTCCAGATGCACAGCTTGGTCTGTGCTATTTGCTCTGCAGGGACGTGGTTCCTCCTGACATCTATTTTGCTTCCTCCCTTAGAGAGCTGATGTGAGGTGGGCTCCTCAGAGGCCTTTTCTCTTCTTTTTTGGGTCACACCTGGTGATGCACAGAGGTCACTCCTGGCTCTGCACTCAGGAATTACCCCTGGCAGTGCTCAAGGGACTATATGGGATGCTGGGAATCGAACCGGGGTCGACCACATGCAAGGCAAATGCCCTACCCACTGTGCTATTGCTCCAGCCCTCGCCTTTCTTGATCATGCTGTAAGAAGCCCCTAACACCCTCACCCCACCCCGCCCCACCCTGCTTCCTTCCACCACATGGTTCCCTTTTTTCCTGCATCATGGTTCCATTTTTTCCTGCAACATACTATTGCTTTCTTCTTTTCTATTTGTTTAATGTCTGTCCCTTTATTGAGAGGGGTTGCCTGTCCCTTTGAAGCTGGGCCTTGTTTTTTATGTTGGGTAGAACAGTACATGGCATGTAAGAAAAAAAGGATTCAATAAACAGTTAACAAATGACTTGGTGAATTCAGTTGATGGGGCCAACCTGGCAGACAGATTACGGGCAGCTCTTTGGAGAGCTGAGAAGGACATGCCACACCTCCTCCACAGAAACGCTCGGCCAGTCCCTGCCAGCCCATGTGGGCCAGGAGCTGTCCGCCTGACCCTGCCCTCCCCAGAGCTGGTGAAGGAACTCAGTCCCACCAGGATGCAGCATCAGGGGACTGGGGTGGGGAGTGGGAGGAGGCTGCCTGACCTGGCAGAATTTAGCAGCTGAACTCACAGACCCTGATGCCCAGCCATGCCAAAGTGTGCAAACCAAAGCAAGTTGAACTATTATGAAGAGCACGCCAGGGGAGCCCAGACTTCGTTTAGAATTGATTTCAGAAAGAAAGGCAAAGCCTGCTCCTGCTCTTCCCCTCCCAATCTGGTAATTTTTACAAAATGAGGGGAAGACGCGGGCAAACCTGTTCTGTCCATAAAATATGGCAAGCAAATCTTCCTACATCGTCTGCATTGTTAGCAAACAATACTTGAGGACTTCAAATAAAATCATTAGGAATGATGCATAGTCATTTTGTTTTCTTCATTTCTGTGTCCCTGTCCCACATTCCCTCATTTTTCCTTGGACTGCCTAGTGAAGTGATGCATAACAGAAACATCTCTCTGAGTTTTTTGGATTCCTTTCATC